GGGGTTTGATCGAGATGTCTTGGAGGGCTCGGTGGGGTCTGGCGAAGAGGTCTGGGGAGTCTCCCGACCTGGGGGGGGTTCTGAAATTGCTCGTCTGGGAGGGTTGTAACCTCCCCCCTTCATTAAAAAGTCCGGACTGCAGATTGAAGGTTTCAATCTGTCTGGGTGGGCCGTTCTGTGAGTCGGCCACGCTATCCAACAATTGTTCATATTGGGGGGGGGGTAGATAACAGCGGCCAGATTTCCCCAACCGACCCGGGAAACGGTTTACGGTGAGGGTCACTCTGAGGTTATTGTAAATGGATGTCGAAGCGCTGATACCACCGATCGCGCGATAGTTAGCAGTTGTTATTGATAACATCGATCGCGCAATTGGGCTGCTGGTTACCAGAAAAAGCGAGGGCACGAGCATCTTTCAAACATCTGAGGGCATCGACGGTTTGGGCTTTGTCGGGTTCTCCTGGAAGGCTCCTCGGAGCATTTTTGGGGACTTTTTTGAAGGCTCTTGTGCCCCCTTGAGACGGTCTTGGGCCGTCTTGTCGTCATCTTGGGTGGTTTTGGAGTCGTCGTGTCCGATTTAGAGGCCATCATGAAATTGCCGTCTTAGAGGCCTCTTGGGTGGTCTTGGGAAGCCACCTTGGACTGTGCTAGGCTGTCTTGTAGGCCATCTTGGAGGCCATATTGGGCGTCTTGGTAGTGGAGGGGGCTCGTTTCGGATCCGCTGGTGCTTTTTCCGGGTGGCCGGCGGGATGGGCCGCGACCCAATTGGGATGTTATCCCCATGTCCTAAGATGGGGTTCTTGTTTTTCATGGGGCTCCTCCGCTTCCTCACTCACTCGCTCACTCACTCAGTCTCGCCTCTGTTTCACTTTCATCACACTCAGATCAATCACTACTCAGACTCACAAAGAACCACGCAGGCTCATTCAGACTCAGAGACATCCTCCAAACACTCACGTCGGTTCCTAAATCACCGTGCCCGCGGTTACAGTCATCCTGTTAGCATTAGCGCAGACGTATTGCGCTGAAGCCGCTGTTTCGTTCCAAGAGGGTTTTTGAGAGGCGAGGGGGGGAGGGCGCGGGCGATGGACAGACATACAAGAGACAAACATTACATGCAAACCACATCGAAAGCGCGTGTAGTTAGCAGTAACTTTGTAACCCGCCCCTCCTGGAACGAAGCGACGACTTTTCTCGAGGCTTCCTCTGACAATTTTTTATCGGTTCGCAAATCGCCGTGCCCGTGGTCGCAAGTATCCAGTTAGCAGTAAGCAGTGCAAGTATATCACGCAGGAACCGTCATTTCGTTCCACGAGGGGGTGTTCAAGAGGCACGGGGGGCTCAACAATCACGGCTAACTAAACGCGCTTTTATTCGGATTTGCGTCCCTCGCGCGCCCCCCTTCCGTAGTCGGTGTCCCTTTGGAGCACGCAAGATTTTGCGCGATAGTTCGCGCTGCTGCTAACAAGACGCTTACGGCCACCGGCACAGCGATTCGTGATTCGCTGCGAGTTTTGTGAGCATGTCTCGAGGGAACACCTGTTCGGGCACTGGCAAAGAACTACTACTAACGAGTGGGCCCCAAACTTACTGCTGCATGTGGCCCCTGTCATATCAAAGGGAGTGCTTGGACGGCGTGAGGATGGGGAGGGAGATGAGGGGCAAGTTGTGGAGGAGGGAGAAGCCCCAAAGTTGCTCCCTTGCGAACTGGCGTTCTGACTCCGGCCCAGGGCGCAAGTGTATGCGGGAGGGAGAGGAGGAAGACGATTGGGAAGGGAGGGGGAGGACGATAATAGGACGATGAGGACGATGAAGATGAGGAGGATGAGGAGAGGGAAGGGAGACATGAGATATAAAGAAGGAGACGGAGAAGAGAGGGGGATGAGAAGAGGAGGAGGAGGGTGAGGATTTGTGTGAGCCTCGACGGTTAGGGTACGCCCCAACGCCTCCGACTCCAGCCCCTGCACCTCTCCTGACCCCACGCCGCCATTCAGGACTCCAGCTCCGATACCATCCTCAGAAGAGATGTGTATTCGATAGTGCTTTCTTCGAATCAGCACGTAGCTGAAGAGAATTCCCACACGAAGGCGGCTCCCAGTCTTTCCTACCCTAGCAGCAGGTGTGGCCGGCGATGCAGCGAGCGTGCACCGACTGGAGTTAGACCCGATTCGAAACCGTTGCAGACATCTTTTGTTCTTTCCCTTGGCCTTGCAGTGAATGCGACAAGGTACGCTCTGTGTTCTGCGTGGAAGGTCACGTTCGAGACACAGCCAACGCCGACGCGGCTGTTCGATGTAGTACCTGCAGCGGCCATCCAGCAGGGCTTGCAGCTCAGACCGAGGGAGTATTGTACTCAGCGAAGTTTATGAATGCCCTCACCCGCCTCACTGATATGTGTACCCAGCTGGCGCCGAGAAAGCGAAAGGCGCTGGTACGCGGGCCGTGGTGGTCTTCACGCGCGAGATGGCACGCGGTATCGGTGGCTCCTATCGCCTTTGGATCTGGCGGCGCAAGATCTGGCAGGTGCAGGCGTGATAGTGCACAGGTGATGCCATCAATACTTCTCATTCCCACTGGGAGTTCTTGGTGCAGATATGGAGGCGCAGACCGTTTGGTCGCTTGGAGGCGGAAGGAGAAGGGGGACTCCCCCTCCTCCCCCCCTCCCCATCTCCTCCCCGCTCCTCACCTCCTCCCCAATCCTCACTTCCTCTCCCCTCCACCCGTGCCCTCCCCCCCCAATTCTCCATCATTGTTCCCTATTAATCGGAGGTTGGGGGGTGAGTTCGCAGTGAAACGGAGACCCCCCACCGGGAAATCGGTTTCGGTTTCGTGTTCGTGTCGTGCGTGCGGGCGAGGCGAAGCTGCACGTGATCCTCCTGTAGCTAGGCCGAAGTAGGAGCGAAAGTCCGTTCCCGTCCGCTGGTGGCTGGGAGGTGTCCCAGTTGGGCCGGGCGGTGTCCCGGGTGTCCCGGGTGTCAGTAGGAGCGAAAGTCCGTTTCCTGTCCGCCGGTGGCTGGGAGGTGTCCCAGTTGGGCCGGGCGGTGTCCCGGGTGTCCCTGGTGCCCCCGGCGTCCTGGCGCTAACGCAAGTCGCTAATTTCATGATTCATTTCTGTTCGGCGCTTGCGGCGGGCGTTCTTATCTCATCCAGCTTATCTAATCCAATCCATCTTGCCCAACCCAATCCGTCTTATCTTATCCAACCCATATTGTCCCATCTTATCTTATCCCACCCAATCCAATCCACCCAGCCCAATCCATCAATTCATTTGTTTCTGCGCCTGCGGCGTGCCAATCCAATCCATCTTATCTTATCCAATCCATTTCTTCCATTCCAACCCATCTTATCTGATTCAATCCATATTATCCCATCCAATCCAATCCACCCAACCCAATCCATCAATTCATTTTTGTCGGCGCCTGCTGTGGGTTTTCTTATACAATCCAGCTTATCTTATCAAATCAATCTTGTCCAATCCAATCCATCTTATCTTATCCAACCCATCTTGTCCAATCTTATCGTATCCCACCCAATTCAATCCATCCAACCCAATCCATCAATTCATTTGTTTCTGCGCCTGCGGCGGGCCAATCCAATCCATTTTATCTCATCCAATCCATCCTTTCCAATCCAACCCAGCTTATCTTATCCAATCCAGGAGACTCATCATTGTGGTGGAGGGAGACTCTGATAGAGAGGGAGAGAGAGATTGAGAGAGGGCGAGAGAGAGAGGGAGAGACACAAAGAGAGAGAGAGAGAGAGACAGAGAGAAAGAGAGAGAGAGAGAGAGATGAGATGAAGGTGACAGGCTGGAGGTCAGTCAGGGTGGGCATTTTATCATCTTAATCCCCCCCCGACCTCCTTATCGCCCGCAGGGCGGTCGTATAGGTAAACAACCCTCCCCCAGGCGACTGGCAGCCAACCAGGACCAACGCGGGCCCTCCCGGCCAGCCCTGTCAAAAAACAGTGTGAGTCAATTTTGGGACAAAATCTTGGATCATGACCGGGGGGGGCGAGAGCACTTTGTATTGTATTTTGACAGGCGCGGCGGGGTACACGCATATTACCTGCTGTGTGCAGGGCCATCATCTTTGTCAACAACAATCCAACATGCACTTCGAGGCAATCTAAGGATCATGCGCGGGCACCCCGCGATCACTGTGTATTGGTTTTTGACTGGGACGGCGGGGTGCCTGCTTTGTGCAGGCCGACCAGACGCTATGATGGCCATCCCGCCGCGATTGCGCACTGGTTTTCGGCAAGTGTGGTTTGAGCCGCCATGCTTCCCGATGTGTACTGCCACGTGCGCAGGCGCACCTGGCACACATTACGGACGTGCCCGAACGTGGCGCACCTGGCGCGGCTGGAGCATACGGCACACATGGCGCACGTGGATCACGTGGCGCATCTGGCGCACCAGGCGTGCCCAGCACGCTTGGGTCACAGGGGTGCCTGGCGCACCTGGCACGCGTGGCGCGCCTGGCACGCCTGGCGCACCTCGCCCTGGCGTTGCGCACATGGGATCTTTTTTGGTTCCCACTTCCTGTCTATCCGAAGACTACCGCTGGACACGCTGCGTCTCGGGTGCTACTTCTGTGTTGCGAGGGCGGGTGGGAGTGAGCGCGACGGCTTGCGGGCGGGGAGGGTGTCTTGACTGCTCCCTTACCCCATCCTCCCTTGTTGTCCCCCCAATCATGCTCAATTCTCCCCTCCCCGTCCTCCTTTCCTGTCCCATCCCCTCTGCGCGCCTTGCTGTGAGCGCTGCTCGTCCCTGCGTGGCGAGGCGCCCAGGGAGCCAGCGATCAAGGATTGCCGTCAGCGGCTGCTGGGACTTTCGAGGCCGTGGCCGTGCCGAGCCTGAACTTGTCCTGGCTCGGCGCGGAGCCGCACGCAGCGGGATCCTCGGATGCGGCTCCGACCCCTCCCGATCGCTGACAGAGAAACAATAACGCAGCACATCGCGAAACAGAGGGCGAGTAGCAAACGTAATCCGTGACCGTCCGCTGATCGGAGGGTGCCGGCTTGCGGCGGCGCCCGGTTTCAAACCTTTTCTAATACACTTTTCGCGGGCAGGTGTAGTTAAGGAGTGGGAAGACGGTAGAGATAGGGATGCAGAGACATCACGAGGAAGGGGAGGAGAAAAGGATGAGGATAAGGGGAGCAGGAGTGTTAGGATACAGTGTGGGCAGTTTTTGCCAGCACCGCGTGTTCACGCAATGACGCGCTAGCTTCCAATGCCAGCACTGCGCGATTGCATTGTTGGTCGTTTCTGTGGGAACAGACGTTCTGGGCACTCTGGAAGGCGATGCCTATCCCGTCAGGGGCCCTGACGGGATAGGCCATGATTTAACAGGATGTGTAGGCTTCTACCTTGTTTTAAGGGAGGGGGGGACCAGGAGGGGATGACGCGACGAGTGAGGGTGGATGAGAGGGGGAAGGCCCCCCATCGTGCACTGGCCTGGGAGGTGACCGCTCTTTGTCAGGCCCAGGGGGGCAGAAACGACAGCCCCCCTCGAGGAGCAAGCGTCCAGTGTAGGAGTGGGAGGTCTCGTCCTTATCGTGTACATACGCTTCTGCTCACGCTCGAGGCACACGAGGCCAGCGCTCAAGCCGCTGTGTGTGTGTGGGTGCGTTTGAACTGCGGCATGCACCATGGTTGCGGTGTAGCGCAGAAATGGGAGATCGTGAACCTTCGATCGCAGCAGGAGTCTGGGAGTCGCGCAGTACCAAACTGGCGGCGATATGTGTGTGTGTGTGTGTGTGTTTGGGCGTGGCACTAGACAGCGGCTGCGCAAGCCGCCCGCCCAAAAGTGCCTGCGAGGGAGGGCCAGGAAGGTGGCATATAAGGTCCCAGCCATTTTCATGTGTGTGTGTGTGTGTCAGAGGGGGCGCATGTTTACAATGACAGCCAAACAGAGGGCTGATGCACGCATGCACTAGTTTCTGTGGGAATGGTCGGAATGGTCGCAGGAGTGGGCGCGGACACGGGTGCACGCGTGGCCCCCAGTATCGGCGTGGCAGATCTGCCTCGGGGCAAAGAATAAACTCCACCGACGACGGCCAAGGGCATGAGTCCGCAGTTCCTGGGGACGGCGAAGATTTCGACGCCCTTGCGCGACGGCTCAACGCCTTCGACTGGTGCGTCATCCACCCCTCCACGGCCCCACGGCTGGCGGCTTAGCGGCATAGCCCTGCGACCGCGCGGCGATCTTCTTTGGCTCTGAACGGCTCGTGCTTCACAGGGCCTGGCCAAGGACGAGGCCAGCTGGCACGTGAAAAGGGCGAGGCCGAAGCCGCGCAAAAGTACACACAAAAAACAAAAACACGCCTCGCGATATCTTCTCACCACGCCCAGAGGTGTTTGGCTCCGGCCGCCGAGCGGCCCCTGGGCTGTTTTGGGTCGTCTTTGGGCCCTCTCGGCGGTGTGGGGTGTGTTTCGGCGTCTTCAGCCTTTCCACGATGCATGTTGGCCGTCTTGGGGCTCCCTTGGGCCATTGTGGGGTCCCGTTGGGCCGTCTTGGGGCCTTCTTGGGCCGTCGTGGGGCCATATTTTTGGCTCCTTCAGCAGTTTGACCTGACGGATGCCCGAACGTGCGAGAATGTCAAGATCTTCGAGCACTAACGGGGAATCCATGCGTTTGTTTTTTGTCGGGCCCTGCTTAGGGTCCTCGTGCGGCCCATTTGGAAGCATCTTGGGCCGTTTTAAGGCCGCCCTGCGCCGCCGTAAAGCATCTTGGACAACTTAAATGAGCGTTGGTTGCTTGTCTCTGTCGTTTTGAGAATTCGGGTGCTCGGATCTACAGCTGTCTCGGTTTAACACACATTTGCCCGGGTTCGTTGCATCGGGAGCGTGGGCCGCCCGTGTTTTACGAGGGGCCGTGGCCTCGCGAGGGATGGGGGGGCGCGCCTGTCTGGCAGTTAGTGGGGGGGGTCCCTTAGAAGGTGACGTACAGCCAAGGCGCTGACACAAGGCACAAGTTGGGTCCAGAAAGTGGCCCAGTGTTCTTTGGGTCCTCTCGTGGTTGTTTCTCTGGCGCTCATCGTCCACGCAGGCGCTTCGGGGCCAAGGGTGGCCTCGTTCTGTATCCATCTTTCCTTATTCCAGCAACCAGATGGTAGTCCCTACCAGACAGTCCTTGACGTTCTACCACGCCTCAGCGTGCCAGGGGGGCGCGGTGGCGGATCGTGTTCTTGTCTCCTTTTCCTTCCCCATCCGCCCCCTCAATCTCCCGCGCTTCCTCCTCACTGCCGTTGCTCCCTTGCCATTTTTTCGTCCCCAATCCGCGGGGCTGGCAGGGGGCAGACTTGCAGTCACGTGGGTGGCCTATTCTGAGCCTGCTCTCCTCTGGCTGGGTCTGTTCAGGCCTTTCCCAGTTCGGGTTGGTATGGTCGTGAATGGCTTTGGTTGGCCTGTTCGGTTCTTGTGGCTTCGGCTGGTATGGCATGGTCGAGTAGAGCATTGACTGGTTTGCGCGATACCATCTGGTTCGTTTCGACCGAGGCTCGAAAGTAAATGCGTGGGAAGGAGCGGGAAGATATGGCGAAGTATTCTTGACACAAGTCGTGCCGTTATTCCAAAGAATCTCTCGCCAGCTTCTGAGAGCCATTCTCGGCTGTCTTTTCACGAGGCTCTCATTCAATCTGTCGGGGCGAGGACTCCTGTTGGGGCGATGTCTCTACGAACGGTTTTCGGGGATGGGGACTCCTGGTGTGAGCCTCTAGGGAACGCAGGGGTCGTCTTTGGGAGCCTCCTGGGACCGTTCTCGGCCGTCTTGGGTCGCCTTATTGGAGTCTCCTGGGACCCTCCTCGGACGTCTTGGTGGGCGCCTCTGGTGTCGTGTGCGCTCTCGGGAGCCTCTCATGTGTCTCTGGTGTCTTGAGCTCCTCTTGGGCACCTCAGTGGCGCGCTTGAGTCGCCTCCTGGGAGCCTGTGGCTTCTCGCGTGCCTCCTGGGGGTTCAAGGGCTTCTTCGGCCGGTGTGGTGGTTCTTGGAAACCAATCGGAGGCTTCCTGGGCCGCCTAAATTGCAATTTTTACCATCGTGAAGGCGCCCAGGGGCAAGGTGAGGAAACGAGGGGGATGGGGCAGGGGGGAGGGGAGGGCACATTGAATTCTCTCGGACGCATGTTGGGGGGCTCTTGGGCCGTCTTTGGCCGTCTTGGGGGCCTGTTGGGAACAAAAGGCGGGCGGTGCCAGACACATTTGGTCCTCTGGAGGTCCTCCTGGAGACCAGCTTGTTACTTGTTGTGCGCATCCGCATGATCTATATCAGGTGCGATTGGTGAAGCCGTGAGAACCAACTGTCCGCCGACATGGGGGCCCGGGGGAAAGGGGTTCAGGTTCTGCGGAGAGGAGCTCAGGAGGCAGACCCGGGCCGCCTGCCGCTCAGAGGGCTGGCGGGACGTATGCTGACATGCAGGGGTATCCGAACAGGGGCTGCCCAATCGAGGGTCACCCTCTCCATACACGAATCGTTGTGCGCAGGTTCGCCTGTACATCTCGCTCAGCTCATAGCGGGCGATGCTCTGAGGCCGGAGGGGTGATGCCAACACCGAGGCTGTCAGCCGCTGTCGTTGTCGCCCGGCCTCGACGGGCCTCTGCAGCACTTCGCCGGGCTCTCGCGCGGCGTCCTGGCCGACCCCTGAGGCCCCCTCCCCCGCTTGACGTCCTTCCGCCGCCAGTCCCTGCCTCCATGCAGTGTCTTGCTGTGCCCTCTCGCCTCATCGTGCGCTCGGCCACCCTTCGGCTCCAGGATCCCTGCCTCCAGCCAGGACGGCCCCTCAGGTCGGCTGCTCCTTGGGAGCTCTCGGAGCGGAGCGCCCCCGGGGTCCCGCCCTCGACTCCTCTCGAGCGCCCTGGCGCCGACGTGCTCCTGCCCGAAAATCATCTTTGGAAGCCTGGCCCGCCCCGCTGAATGGCGTCTGAAGCCTCGAGGCCTTTCCGCAGGTAGCCTTCGAGCTGTGGACCTCTGGGCGTGGCTCGAAGCCGGCGCCCTTACTAAGACCAGCGACATGAAACTCCATTGCGTGCCTGGTTGGGGCTATGAAGCTTGCATTGGCTGCGCCCAATGCCTTCTGCTTCCGTGCGCCTCGTTCGCAGCTTCGAGCTCTGTACCCGGGTTGAGCTTGACGCTGACAGAGGCCAGAGCCTGGCCGGGCAAGAAGCGCCCCCTCTCAGCAGAACCAGGGATCCCCTTCAGCCGTGGCCTCATGTCGGCGTCCTTTCATTCCGCTCCCCTTGCGTCCTTTCCTGCGGGCTCAAGAATATACACCACCACCACGTCGATTCCTCCCTCCTCTACCCTCCTCTTCCTCTCATCTCTCCTGGGGGACGGAGTGGGTGAGGGAGATGGTGGTGGTGTATACTTGTTGACCCCGTATCTCCCCGCCCCCTTCCGCTCCCACCACCACACCTCCTTCCCACCCTCCCCATCCTCCCTTCCCCAGGAGTCGGATCTCCAGGAGATGTGCTTCTTCACCACGAGATGCAGAGCACGAGGGCGTCCACCGTTGGACGCCGCTGGCGACCCAGAATCTGTCGATGTTGAACGATCCGACGCGTCGGAACCGGCCCATCGTTCAAGGCTGAACCATCCCCGCGGCGTCAGGAGCCAACGCCGGGTCGACACGAGGCGAACCTGCCGTATCTCTCTATCTCTTTGACTCTCCCCCTCCCCGACCCTGTATACCAGCACCGCTCCCTCCCCTCTCCTCCCCCGAGCGGCTCGCTGGGTTGCCCAGGGCTCGGGCCGAGAGCGCGTGCGCGCGGGTGATTTTTCGGATCGAACTGTGGTTGGCCGTCGTGGACGGTGCCCTCGCCTCGATGCCGGCCGCATTCCTGGCTCTTCCCCACCCCCTCTACATTGGGCGCCCGCGCATCCCAGCCTTCTTGCGATTCTTCGAGGATGAATGCTGCTCTCCCCCCGCCCTGGGTCGCGTTCGCTCCAGCTCCTTGGCCACTGTGGCCCTCGTGAGCTGTTACTCCTTCTCTCTATCCTCCCTCTCCTTCTCGATGTGTGCGTGTCATCCTTGCGCAGGGACCGTGCTGATCTTCTCTGTACCGCCCCAATGTTTATCAGATGATCTCCGATAGGAATCCTCCCTCTTCGCCTCTTCCCTTCCTGTCCCTCCCCCTTACCCCTCATCCTCCCCCGCGCTCATTTGGGTTTCGATCCGGTCGGCTCCATTGCGCAAAGTTCTAGATCGATTCGTAAGGAAGGGTCCCAGTTCAACAACCCTGGCGATGCACCAGTCGGCCGTCGTGTCCCCAGTTGACGGGCAAGTTGGGCATGAGTGCCATAGTCCTGGCGGATCTCTTTCGGGCCGTCTTTCCGTGCTCTCCTTCTGGATCGTTGCGCAGTGCGCTCTTCAAAGGCTTTCGTTGCTGCTGTCGACGCCCTGTGCCCTCTCCCATTAATCATTGTGCCCACCTGTTAGCGCAGTCGCATGAAGCAGTCCAGCGGGGTGGCCTGTAATCATGCCGAGGGGACAGCGCTGAAAAGTTATGACGTCCTGCATCGCCGTCGCACCGCCCTCTTTTATTTCTTCCTCTATCTCTCTCTCCCTCTCGTCCTAATGAGCGCCTTCGCCATCCCAATGCGTTCCGCGGTTCTCTGAGTTATTTATCTTGCCCTGGGCTCTCTTTGCGTCCGCCTACCCCCGTGCTTGTTTGCTCGCTCTCTCCCCCCCTGCAGCGGTCTACCTCCTCTCGTGTCTTCCTGGAAGGCAGACATGAAGCGAAGTTCTTGCTTGCTGTGTGACTCGTCCATTGGGGTTGATGTGCTAGTAGTTTCTGCTCTGTAGCGCACGCTGGCTCACAAGCTGTTCTGTCACGAAACGTCTTAGGCGAAAGCTCCGCACAGTTATGTTTAGCGCCCACGCGTGCGCTGGCATCACACATTTTTCGACGCGGGGATCCCCATATGCGCATGCCATTGTTTGGTACTCTTCTCTGTGAGTATCTGCGCGTGCGCTCTAAGAGCAAATAAGACTGAGCATGTGCAAGTCTGGGAGTGGGTTCTCCTGTCTGCTTCTCTGTGCCGCCGTATGCAGATGCCCTCGCGGATTCCCCTTGGGGTGCCCAAGTGTTATGTCTGCGACATCGCCGTGATCATGGGGCTCTGACAGGAGTGGAGTCGGGGGTGCCAAAGCAAGCGCCTCGCTCAAGACATCCCTGGAATCTGGGCGCAAAAGCGCTAGTGCAACACCCCCTGGCGGTTCGCTCGTTGGGGTGCCAAAGTGCAATGCCTGCCACATCACGTTGATCATGTGGCTCTCGAGGGCAGGAGTCGGAGGTGCCAAGCAAACACTTGGCTCGAGACGTCCCCGCAGTCTGGGCGTGAACGGGCAAGTGTAATACCCACTGGCGGCTCCTCCTTGGGGTGCTCAAGTGCTGTGCCTGCTGTCTCGCGGCGGTCATGAGCGAGTATGTGTATGTGACGCTAGTGTGAATCGGTCTGAGTGTGAGTGACAAGTGTAGATGTTGCCTGAGTGTGAGCCTGAGTGTGAGCCTGACTATGAGTGAGTCTAGATGCGACGATGTGACTGATCAGAGTGTCAGTGGTGTGTGTATGAGTCTGAGTATGAGCGGACCTGCGTGTGAGTGGTCTGATGGTGAGTGAGCCTCGGTATGCATGTGCCTGAGTATCAGTGGATATGAGATTGCGTGGTTGGTCCGAGAATGAATAATCTGAGTATGAATGAATATGAGTGTGAGTTAGTCTGGTTGTAACTGAATCCGTATGAGTGAATCTGCCAGTGAGTCTGAGTATGACCCTGGGTGAGCCTGAGTGTGAGTGGGTCTAAGTGTGCAGCGTTACGTCGTGGACACAGAGAAAGGTGCGCAGTCCAGCGTCAAGTGTCCAGTCTTATGGCGGAGCCCGCTGGACTGGTGCTGGGAGTGCAGCGGTCGCTTGATCGAAGACGTGGGGTTTGGTGGGTTTTTGAGATCGGCCGGTCATTGATCGACGAAGAGATCGCGACGCAGGCACGTCGCTAATATTCGAACGCCGTCTCCGCATCCTGATCTGCGTCGGAGACGGTGAGCAGCTTGCGGGTTGCACTGTGGCCAGCTTTTGTCAAATACGGGTGGTGTGTCAAATCAGCTGGCACCCAGAGGTCTCGACCCCTTTGCCTTTGCCCAGGGGCACCTTCTCGCCTCGGATTTGTTTTTGATCGTCCAGGGGTCCGGCCACGGCCCCTGGAGGCCGAAGCAGTCGGAAACCGAAGGAGCTCTCAAATCCAATGTGTCCGATGTCTGGGAGCATCCTTCCCCCGTTCTCCCATTTGTCATCGGGTTGCAACTCGTGGGAGCCTTGCCTGTCCTCGGAGTTCCGTCTTTAGGGAGTGCGTCGGCGTGCGCAAGCGTCTGGCTCTCGATGCACATGTGCCGATGTAGCATCGATTAGCGTCGAGCTAGCGTTGGTTCTCGTCGAGCAGCGTCGATCAGGATCGATTCGCGTCGGTTCGCGCTGGCTCGCCAGAGCCGGCAAGATGTGGCACGGGAGGCTCCCGTGAGCTGCCACAGCATCGGCACATGGGGGACGGAGGCGGAGGGAGGGTGTGCGAGGCTCCCGCCTCGCTGTGGGGCCAAGGGCCCAGGGTCGGCCCCAGACCCTCGCCCGCCCTCGGCCGCCCCCCCCCCCCCGCTCGGGGCCTCCCAGAGGGGGTCCGAGTACGGCCGGACCGAGGCACGGGATCGGGGTCGGTGCGGGGAGGGCTCTCCCATGTTCTTCGTGCTTGCTGGAGGTTTTTGTGCATCCTGGAGAGCGTACCCTTGGATGTTCTGTTCGTTTCGGCCGACGGAGGGTCTCATGTTCTTGAGGGGTGCTCTCCTGGCCTAGGTCCGACCGTAGGTGGGGTCGGTGGATCGCGCCGCATCGCCGATGCGACGGCGATGCGTTTCGATGCGTAGCCCGACCTTCTCCACGCCGACGGCGCCGATGCATCGCCGACGCATCGCCGGATGCGTCGGCGACGTGAGGCGTTCCAGAGTGGGCCTAGCCCTCGAGGATCGAAGGAGAGGTGCTATCTCTTCCTCGGTGGAAGGCGGCGGGAGGCAGGCGGAAGGCGGCGGAAGTTCAAGGGGTGCCCCCCAAGAGGTGGCAATCTTTTGGGTTCAGGGTTTCCGGACTCGGCCGTCCCCGCATCCTGCTCTGCGTCGGAGACGGTGAGCAGCTCAGCTTGCGGGTTGCACTGTGGCCAGCTTTTGTCAAATACGGGTGGTGTGTCAAATCAGCTGGCACCCAGGAGGTCTCGACCCCTTTGCCTTTGCCCAGGGGCACCTTCTCACCTCGGATTTGTTTATGATCGTCCAGGGGTCCGGCCACGGCCCCTGGAGGCCGAAGCAGTCGGAAACCGAAGGAGCTCTCAAATCCAATGTGTCCGATGTCTGGGAGCATCCTTCCCCCGTTCTCCCATTTGTCATCGGGTTGCAACTCGTGGGAGCCTTGCCTGTCCTCGGAGTTCCGTCTTTAGGGAGTGCGTCGGCGTGCGCAAGCGTCTGGCACTCGATGCACATGTGCCGATGTAGCATCGATTAGCGTCGAGCTAGCGTTGGTTCTCGTCGAGCAGCGTCGATCAGGATCGATTCGGTTGCAGCTCATGGGGGACTTGCATGTCCTCGATATTCCGTCTTTGGGGAGTGC